TTTATTTTCTCGAAGAACCAGCTCTCGGTTTCATTGACCTTTTGAATTGTTTTTTGGGTTTCCATCTCGTTAATCTCTGCTCTGAGTTTTGTTATTTCCTTCCTCCTGTTCAGATTAGGCTCCGTTTGTTGGTCATTCTCCAAGCTCTTAAACTGTGAGGTTAGGTTACTTATGTGGGCTCGTTTCTCCTTCCTGAGCAATGCTTGTAGAGCTATAAATTTTCCTCTTAACACAGCTTTTGCTGTGTCCCATAAGTTTTGGTTACTCGTGTCCTCATTTTCGTCCATTTCCAGGAATCTTTTGATTTCCTCTTTGATTTTCTTTCTAAGCCACTGGTTTTACAAAAGTGAGCTCTTTAATTTCCAGGTGTTTGATTTAGTTTTCTATTTGTGTGTGTGATTAACTTCTAATTTCAGTGCACTGAGGTTGGCGAAGATTGTTGATACAATCTCTATCTTTTTAATTTTATGGAGGTATGTTTCGTGGCTCAGCATGTGGTCTCTCTTGAAGAATGTTCTAAACACACTTGAAAAGAATGTGTATTCAGCTTTTTTTCCCGATCATTTCTTTTTTTCCATTATTTCATTATTTTTTATTAGTGAAACACCATGAGGTACAGTTATAGACTAATAAATTTTTGTGCTTGGGTTTCAGTTATACAATGATCAAGTACCCATCCCTCCACCAGTGCCCATCATCCACCACCACGGGTCCCAGCATCCCCCCATCCCCCATCCCCCCGTCCCACCCTGCCTCTGTGGCAGGGTATTCCCCCTTGTTCTCTCTCTCTTCTTTTGGGTACTGTGTTTTGCAAGAGAGGCATTGAGTGGCAATCATGTTTGGTCTATAGACTACTTTTAGCATGCTTCTCCCATCCTGGGAGGGTCCTCACAACACCCTTTATTTGGTGCTCTCTTCTCTATCTGAGCTTCCTTTTCACCTAGCATGTGTGGCTGGCCTTCAAGTCATGGAGCAAAATTCCTGGTACTAATCTCAGCCATTCCTGGGTGTTAGTCTCCCTTTTTGTTGCTTTATGTTCCCCAGATGAATGCAATCTTTCTGTGTCTATCCCGCTCTTTCTGACTCATTTTGCTTAACATGATACTTTCCATGTAGTACAACTTGTATGTAAATTTCATAACTTCATCTTTTCTAACAGCTACATAGTACTCCATTGTGTAAATGTACCAACGTTTCTTTATCCAGTCATCTGTTCTCGGGCACTCAGGTTTTTTCCAGATTCTGGCTATTGTGAAGAGTGCTGCAATGAACAAACAATTGCAGATGTCATTTCGACTATGCCTTTTTGCCTCTCTGGGATATATTCCCAGGAGTGCTATAGCTGGGTCAAATGGGAGATCAAATTCTAATTTTCTGGGAATCGTCCATACTGTTTTCCAAAAGGGTTGGACCAGCCGGCATTCCCACCAGCAGTGAAGGAGGGTCCCTTTCTCGCCACATCCATGCCAGCATTGGTTGCTTTTGTTCTTGTGGATGTGGGCCAGTCTCTGTGGTGTGAAATGATATCTCATTGTTGTTTTGATCTGCATCTCTCTGATGATTAGTGATGTAGACCATTTTCTCATGTGCCCTTTTGCCATTCGGATGTCTTCTTTGTGAAAGTTTCTGTTCATTTCCTCGCCCCATTTTTTGATGGGGTTGGTTGCTTTCTTCTTGTGGAGTTCAACCAGTACCTTGTATATCCTTGATATCAACCCCTTGTTGGATGTGTATTTGGTGAATATCCTTTCCCATTCTGTAGGCTGTCTTTGTATTGTGGTCACTGTTTCTTCTGGGGTGCAGAAGCTTCTTAGTTTAAGATAGTCCCATTTGTCTATCTCTGTTTTCACTTGCTCGGCCAGTGGCGTGACATCTTTGAAGATACCATTAGCTTCAATATCATGGAGAGTTTTGCTGACTTAGTTTTCAATAAAAATTATGGATTCCGGTCTGATGTTGAGGTCATAAATCCATTTCGATCTTACGTTTGTGCATGGTGTTAGGCAGAGATCTGAGCCCACTTTTTTGCATGTAGCCGTCCAGTTTTGCCAGCACAGTTTATTAAAGAGGCTTTCCCTGCTCCATTTCACTTTTCTTGCCCCCTTATCAAAGATTAGATGATTATATATTTGGGAGGAAATGTCAGTACATTCAACTCTGTTCCATTGGTCTGCAGCTCTGCTTTTTTTCAGTACCATGCTGTTTTAATTATTACTGCCTTGTAGTAGAGTTTGAAGTTAGGGAGGTTGATTCCTCCCATTTTCTTTTTCCCAAGAATTGCTTTAGCTATTCGTGGGGGTTTACTGTTCCATATAAATTTCAGGAGTTTTTGTTCCATTTCATTGAAGAATGTCATGGGTATCCTTATAGGGATTGCATTGAATTTGTACAGTGCTTTGGGAATTATTGCCATTTTGATGATGTTGATTCTCCCCATCCATGAACAGGGGATATTTTTCCATTTCCTCATGTCCTCTTTTATTTACTGAAGTAGCCTTTTGTAGTTTTCTTTGTACAGGTCCTTTACTCCCTTAGTTAAGCTGATTTCTAGGTACTTTATTTTCTGGGGCACAATTGTGAATGGGATTTTTTTCTTCATGTCACTTTCTTCTCTTTCACTATTTGCATCTAGGAAACCCATGGATTTTTGGGTATTGATTTTATAGCCTGCAGCTTTACTATACAAGCCTATTGTTTCTAGGAGTTTCTTGGCAGAGGTTTTAGGGTTCTCTAAGTATAGTATCATATCATCTGCGAATAGTGAGAGCTTAATTTCTTCTTTCCCTATCTGGATGCCCTTAATATCCTTTTCTTGCCTAATCACTATTGCAAGTACTTCCAGTACTATATTGAACAGTAGTGGAGAGAGTGGGCATCCTTGTCTTGTCCCTGACCTTAGGGGGAAGGGTCTCAGTTTTTACCCATTGAGGATGATGTTTGCTGTAGGTTTGTGGTAGATGGCTTTAACTATATTGAGGGAAGTCCCCTCTATCCCCATTTTGGCAAGGGTTTTCATCATGAATGGGTGGTGGATCTTGTCACATTCTTTCTCTGCATCTATTGATATGATCATATGATTTTTATTTTTTATTTTGTTAATATGATGGATTATGTTGATTGATTTCCGAATGTTGAACCATCCTTGCATCCCTGGGATGAATCCCACTTGGTCATGATGTATGATCTTTTTGATGAGTTGTTGAATTCTATTGGCTAGTATATTGTTGAGAATCTTCGTATCTGTGTTCATCAGGGATATCGGCCTTTTCTTGTGGTGTCTTTGTTTCCTTTTGGTATTAGAGAGATAGGGGCTTCATAGAAACTGTTTGGGAGAGTTTCTGTTTTTTCAATTTCCTGGAAAAGCTTGAGAAGAACTGGCAATAGGTCCTTTTTAAATGTTTGGAAAAATTCGCTAGTGAATTCATCTGGACCTGGGCTTTTGTTTTTGGGAAAACTTTTGATTACAGTTTCAATTTCCTTGATGTTAATAGGTCTATTCTTATGCTCTAGATCTTCTTGATTCAGCTTTGGGAGTCCTGGGATTTATCCATTTCTTCTAGGTTCTATTGTTTCGTGGCATACAGACTTTCAAAGTAGTCTCTGATGATCTTTTGGATTTCTTTGGTTTCTGTTGTGATATCCCCCTTCTCATTTCTGATTTGGTTTATTGGGGTTCTCTCTCTGTTTCTTTGTGAGTGTTGCTAGTAGTTTTTCTATCTTGTTTATTTTCTTGAAGAACCAGCTCTTGGTTTCATTGATCTTTCGGATTGTGTCCATGTTATTGATTTCTGCTCTAAGATTTATGATCTCCTTCCTTCTGCCTGATTTAGGCTCTTTCTGTTGATCCCTTTCTAAGGTCTTGAGATGTGAGGTCAAGTTGTTTATGCGTATCCTTTCTACAGACCTAAGATATGCTTGCAGAGCTATAAATTTTTTCCTTAATACAGCTTTCGCTGCGTCCCATAGGTTCTGGTTGCTCGTGTCTTCATTCTCATTTATTTCCAGGTATCTTTTGATTTTGTCCATGACTTCCTTCCTGACCCACTTGTTGTTCAGCATTGAGTTGTTTAATTTCCAGGTGTTTGATTTGGTTCTCCGTGTCTGGGTGTGATTCACTTCTATCCTCAGTGCATCACGGTCTGAAAAGATGGTTCATACTATTTCTATCTTCCTGATTCTGTTGAGGTATGTTTTGTGGCCTAGGACATGGTCTATTTTGGAAAATGTTCCATGTGCACTGGAGAAGAATGTGTATTCTTTCTTTCGGGGGTGTAAAGCCCTGTATAGGACTATAAGTCCTTTCTCTTCTATTTCTTCTTTCAAAGCCAAAGATTTCTTGCTGGGTTTTGTTCTTGTTGATCTATCCAGAGGTGATAAGGCGATGTTGAAGTCTCCAAGTATTATTGTGTTGCTTGCAATGTCCTCCTTAAAATCTGTTAGCAGCTGTTTTGAATATTTAGCTGTTCCCTCATTAGGTGCATATACATTTAAGAGTGTGATTTCTTCCTGTTGTACGTATCCCTTGATGAAGAGAAAATAGCCTTCACTGTTCCTTCTAATTTTTTCAACATGAAATTAATGTTTTCGGATACTAGTATGGCCACCCCAGCTTTTTTGAAGGAGCTGTTTGCTTGCAGGATTGTTTTCCATCCTTTGACTTTGAGTCTGTGTTTGCTGATTGTTTAGATGAGTTTCTTGTAGGCAGCAGAATGTTGGGTTCTGTCTCTGTATCCATTTTGCCACTCTGTGTCTTTTAAATGGTCAATTTAGACCACTGACATTGAGAGAGAGAGAATGGTTTTGGGATTTTGTGTCATCTTTCTGTAAGGGTGTGTTGTGGTTGTAGGGTTTGTCTTGTCTTATAGTAGCCCCTTTAGGCCTTGTTTTAAGTTTGGTTTTGAGTCTATGAAGTTCCTGAGTTGCTGTTTATCTAGAAAATAGTGTACCATTCCTTCAAGTTTGAGTGAGAGTTTAGCAGGATAGAGTATTCTTGGTGAAGCAAAAATATGGAACACTACACGAACTTGCGTTTGTCATCCTTCCGCAGGGGCCATGCTAATCTTCTCTGTATCATTCCAATTTTAGTATATGTGCTGCTGATGCGAGCATTGTATTCAGCTTTTTGAGGATAAAGTGTCCTGTATATATCTACTAAGTCCCTTTCTTTCATCGTTTCCCTCAGATGAAGTACGTTCTTGCTAAGGTTGAGTCTGGTTGATCTATCAAGAGTTGATAAAGCAGTGTTGAAGTCTCCCACTAGTATTGTCTTGCTATTGATGTATTTTTCCAAGTCTATGAGTAGTTGTCTTAAGTACTTTGCTGGTCCTTCATTAGGTGCATATACATTTAGTATTGTAAATTCTTCCTGTTGTACATATCCCTTGATCAATAAGAAATGGCCTTCACTGTCTCCTGTGACCTTCTTCATTCTGAAATCAATGTGGTCTGATATTAGGATGGCTACCCCAGCTTTTTTATGGGAGTTGTTTTCCTGTAGGATTATTTTCTAGCCTTTGACTTTGAGCCTGTGTTTGCTCTGACTATTGAGATGTGTTTCTTACAGGCAGCAGAATGTTGGATTCAATTTTCTAATCCATCCTACCACTCTGTGTCTTTTAATTGGTGTGTTTAGCCCATTGACGTCGAGAGAGATTATTGTTATGGGGTTTTGTCCCATTTTTCTATTGAAATTTGGTGTATTTGAGTGGTCTGTCTTTTATTGAAGTAGCCCATTTAGTTGTTCTTCTAACCCTGGTTTTGAGTCTATGAAGGTCCTTAGCTGTTGTTTGTCTGTGAAAACTGTGTGTTGTTCCTTCTGTTATGAATGAGAGTCTCGCTGGGTAAATTATTTTTTGGTGAGGCATTTATTTCAGTGAGTTTTTTTTCACTGTATCCCACTGATGTTTTCAGGCTGTAAGGGTTTCATCAGACAAATCGTTTGTAAATCTTTTTTTAAAAATTTTATTGAATCACCCTGAGATAGCTACAAGCTTTCATGTTTGGGTTACAATCACACAATGATCAAACACCCATCGCTCCACCAGTGCACATTCTCCACCACCAATATCCACTGTATAGCCCACCCTCCCCCTGCCTCCATGGCAGACATGATTCCCCATAATTTCTCTCTACTTTTGGGCATTATGTTTTGCAATACAGACCCTGAGAGGTTACCATGTTTGATCCTTTTTTCACTTTCTGAACATATCTCCCATCCTGACCGATTCCTACAGCCATCTTTTTCTTAGCGATCCTTTCCCTATTCCAGCTGCCCTCTCCCCTTTGCTCATGAGGCAGGCTTCCAGCTATGGAGCAATCTGTCTGTCGCGTGTATCTACTATCCTTAGGTGTCATTGGCTATGAATCTTAAGGATGCTCCTTTATAGCAAATTTCTTTCTTTGATATTGCTGCATTCAGAATCTTATCTCTAACGTTTTGGTCACTCTGATCAGGATGTGTCTTGGAGTATTTTTATTTGGATTTCTTCTAGCTGGTACCCTTCATACCTCCTGAATGTGGTCGCATGTTTTCTTCAGCTCTGGGAATGTCATAGCAATTATATCTTTGACAATTTCTTCATCAAGGTTTTCTTCCTGTCCCTTTGGGACTCCAATAATTCTTATGTTGCTCCTCTTTGCTTCATCATTATCTTCTCTTGCCATCTGTTCATGGATTGTGAGTCTCTTTTCCATTTTCTGCTCTTTCCTGGAGATTATCTGGACTTCATCTTTGAGCTCACTGATTCTGTCCTCAGCAGCTGTTACTCTGCTGCTGAGGCCTTCCACTGAGTTTTTCAATTCGCTTATCAGGTCCGACATTTCCATTTGTAATTTTCTTTTCATTTTCCTCATTTCTACCTTCAAATCTTCTTGCCTTTTATTTGCATTGCTTTCCATTGTTACTTTTAGCTCCCTAAGCATCCTCAGTAGCTCCCTTCTAAATTCCTTGTCAGAGAGGTTGTCTAGCACTTCATTACTTTTGGGATCTTCTGGGCTTAATCGAGGTGGGCTTAATGAATTATTGGTTAATGTGTTTCTGGTGATTAAGCTAACCTAGTGAAAATTCCATCTAAGAGGGTAACTTATGGTTCCTAAGGGATATGTAGGGGGAGAATAACTCGTGACCACTAATGAGGCCACGGCTCTGGAAAGGGGCCCTGACGCTGGGTGGGTACCTAGATGATTGAGCAGAATGTGCCCGGAATGGTTCAGCTTTGGTTGTGTGTGGTGTATCTCAATTCCCGACCCCCGCAGACCAAGGATGAAAAACAGCCATTCTCTGGGGTTCTATTTAGACACGCAACCCTGGGAAGGGGCCCTACCGCTGCGCAGGTACCTGGGTGAGTGAGCAGAGGTTGCCTGGGATGGTTCAGCTTTGGTTGTGTGTGGTGTATCTCAATTCCTGTCCCCTGCAGACTAAGGAAGAAAACCCCCCATTCTCTGGGGTCTAGTTAGATGTGCAGCCCCGGGAAGGGGCTATGTTGCCGGGCAGGTACCTGCATCAGTGAGAAGAGGATGCCCTGGATGGTTCAGCTTTGGTTGCGCACAGTGTGCCTCAATTCCAGTCCCCCACAGACCAAGGATGAAAACCGGCCATTCTCTGGGAGTCTAGTTAGAAACACTCAGCCCTGGGAAGGGGCCTGTTCTCTTTAATTTCTTGAAGTAGTGTTTTTTAGTTTTCTTTGTATAAGTCTGTCACCGCATTAGTTAAGCTGATTTTGAGATACTTGGTTTTATGAGGCAGTACTGTGAATGGAATTTTTTTTTATTAGTGAAACACCATGAGGTACAGTTGTAGACTTACAATTTGTTGTGCTTGGGTTTCAGTTATGCAATGATCTAGTACCCATCCCACCACCGGTGCCCATTCTCCACCCCCACCAATCCCAGTATCCCTCCCATCCCCCCATCCCCCATCCCACCCTGCCTCTGTGACAGGGCACTCCCTTTTGTTCTATCTCTCCTTTTGGGTGCTGTGGTCTGCAGAAGAGACATTGGGTGGCAATCATGTTCGGTCCATAGCTTACTTTCAGCAGGCATCTCCCATCCTGGGCAGATCTTCCCAGCAGCCTTTATTTGGTGCTCCATTTTCTATCTGAGCTGACTTTACCCTTGGAGTGTGCGGCTGGCCTCTAAGCCATGGAGTTAACAACCTGGTATTCATCACAGCTGTTCTTGGGTGTTAGTCTCTTATTTTGTTACTTTACGTTACCCAGATGAATGCCATTTTTCTATGTCTGTCCCTCTCTTTCTGACTCATTTCGCTTAGCATAATATTTTCCATGTAGTACCACTTGTATGTAAATTTCATGATTTCATTTTTTCTAACTGCTACATAGTACTCCATTGTGTAGATGTACCAAAGTTTCTTTAACCAGTCATCTGTTCTCAGGCACTCAGGTTTTTTCCATATTCTAGCTATTGTAAATAGTGCTGCAATGAACAAACACGTGCAGATGTCACTTCGACTATACTTTTTGGTCTCTCCGGGGTATATTCCCAGGATTGGTATTGCTGGGTCAAATGGGAGCTCAATTTCTAATTTTTGAGAGTCGTCCATACAGTTTTCCAAAAGGGTTGAACCAGTCGGCATTCCCACCAGCAGTGAAGGAGGGTCCCTTTCTTGCCACATCCGCGCCAACACAGGTTGCTTTTGTTCTTTTGAATGTGGGCCAGTCTCTGTGGTGTGAAATGATATCTCATTGTTGTTTTGATCTGCATCTCCCTGATTATTAATGATGTAGAGCATTTTCTCATGTGCCTTTTAGCCATTCGAATTTCTTCTTTGAGAAAGTCTCTGTTCATTTCGCTGCCCCACTTTTTGATGGGGTTGGATGTTTTCTTCTTGTGGAGTTCAACCAGTACTTTGTATATCCTTGATATCAACCCTTGTTGGATGTGTATTTGGAGAATATCCTTTCCCATTCTGTAGACTGTCTTTGTATTTTGGTCACTGTTTCTTTGGAGGAGCAGAAGCTTCTTAGTTTAAGATAGTTCCATTTGTCTATCTCTGTTTTCACTTGCTTGGCCAGTGGCGTGACATCTTTGAAGATAGCACTAGCATCAATGTCATGGAGGGTTTTGCCAACTTTGTCTTCAATGTACCTTATGGATTCTGGTCTGATCAACTACCTAGGAATTAGTTTAACTAAGGAAGTAAAGGACCTGTACAAAGAAAACTACAAAACGCTCCTTCTTGAAATAAAAGAGGACTTGAGGAAATGGAAAAATATCCCCTGCTCATGGATGGGGAAAATTAATATTGTGAAAATGGCAATACTTCCCAAAGCACTGTACAAATTCAATGCTATCCCTATTAGGATACCCATGACATTCTTCAAAGAAATGGAACAAACACTCCTGAAATTTATATGGAACAATAAGACCCCTCGAATAGCTAAAGCAATTCTTGGGGAAAAGAAAATGGGCGGAATTAAACTCCGGAACCTCAAACTCTATTACAATGCAGTAATAATTAAAACAGCATGGTACTGGAACAAAGGCAGAGCTGCAGACCTATGGAACAGGGTTGAATATACTGACAACTCCCCTCAAACATATGATAATCTAATCTTTGATAAAGGGGCAAGAAATGCAAAGTGGAGTAAAGAAAGCCTTTTTAACAAATGGTGCTGGCAAAACTGGATGACTACGTGCAAAAAACTGGGCTTAGATCTCTGCCTAACACCATTTACTAAAGTAAGATCAAAATGAATAGAATTTTTTTTAAAAAAAAACTCTTCTCTTTAATTATTTGTGTATAGAAAAGCCATGGAATTTAGGGTATTGGTTTTTAACCTGCCACTTTACTATACAAACTTATTGTTTATAGGAATTTTTGTATAGTCTTTAGGATTTTCTAAGTATAATATCATTGTTATCTGCAAATAGTCATAGTTTGACCTTTTCCTATATTCATGCCCTTGATATCTTTTTCTTGCCTAACTGCTATGGCAAGTACTTCCAATACTTTATTGAATGAATAGGTGAGATTGGACAACCTTGTTTTATCCCCAATCTTAGAGGGGAGACTTTTAGTTTTTCTCCATTGAGAACAATGCTTGCCGTGTACTTGTGGTAGATGGCTTTGACTGGGGAAAGCTCCTTCA